CCCTATAAGATCACTATATCTAAAAAAAAAACCAGCAAAAGCAAGTAAACATAAACACAGATCTCAGATATCTTTTAAAGAACCTGAATGCTTTAAGAGTTCAACCAGACTGCACAAAATACTTGTTGTAACGGGCTCTTTCTTGATTGGTGGTTTGCCAAGTAACCGTCTGGAGGATTCCACAATGTTCTTGATAAAAGGATGTTGAGTAGGTGACGGCAAACCGGCCAAAGTGTGCATCCACTGAATGCTATAGCATGCCGATTCCACGCACTGTTTCGTCTTCTGGCTATGAATTGCGCCCTCAATCAGACTAGTTAGACATAATGACGCGTGGGAAAGATTGGCAGGAAATACCTGGAAACCGCATCTTTTGGCGAATTTTGCCCATCTACTGAATGCGTTATGATAACTCGTGGCTGTGGAGTCCGCTCTTGATGCTAGTGATATGCTTTCCAATGTTGACACCATATGAGCATTTTCCTTGTTCGTTCTTAGATCTTCCAAGACTCCCAATTTAAACACATTCGTATCTGCTACTATGGAAAATCAGTCGATCAATCGAGCCAAGCACTATTGGCTAAGCCATTGTCATGGCAAACATTTCAAAAAACAGGCTGCTATGGACCGCATTCGATCACTTGTGCCCAACACTATTGGCTAAATCATTGTCATTGCAAAAATTCAAATTGCAGAAAAACTGGCTGCTATGGATCCATCGATCACTCGAGCCAGGTACATTATCTGACGCCATCACAGCAAAAAACGAAAACTTGGACTATTTCAGTCATTTGAGCTCAGCACAGTTATCTGTACTCGGCAAAACATTTAAATACATATTTTATGGCTTGCAAAGAATACAGCACTATCACTAGAATAAAAGCCTGCAAGGCTATGTTTAGACACATTTTCACCTTTGAACTTTACATTTAAAGCCAAAATACGGAAATTTAGCGATTTCCCACCAAACACAGTGTTTGAGCCCCTGCCTGCAGCAAAAATGCTCGAATCGCTTGGCAATTCAATCCAGTCTGCTACGTAAGCAGCGAAATGCACTCCATCTGGACAAATAAATGACCAAAAGTACGCCGATCTCCATAATGGGATCACTATGGTACCCCTACCCCGGCATGATTCCAAATGTCTCACAACTTTACCAATGAGGCATACAGGCGGTAACAACCAATTGTTATCTAGTGACCAATCTTGAGTAACAGCATCCACAGCCTCTGTGTTTGGACACCAAAAGCGTGAATTGAATCTATCGCATTTAGCGTTGTAAGAGGATGCGAACCTATCAACTGAGAAAGGACCCCACTTAATATCTAAAAATCTGAAATACTCTAAGTTAATAGACCAATCGTCTACATCGATGATTTTACTAAGGTAATCAGGCTTTTCATTTGAACTCCTTGGGATCCAATCCAATTCTAAAGAAATCCCATGCTGGGAACAGCTACTAAATATAGCTAAAGCAATAACCTGCAAATCGGACTTCATACTGCCCTTGTGTACAATAGACACTACATTCTGGTTATCTGTAAACCACTTGACAGTACGACCTGATAGTAAATGTACAATACCACACAAGACTTTGTAAACTGCTTGTAGTTCTCTCCATGTAGAACTGAGACACTGCTCTCCCTCATCCCACATCCCATGTACCACGGAATTGTCACATTCAACAATATACCCACCAAATGCCTTGTAAGAGGCGTCGGAGTATACCAGCCTTGTTGCTCTTTCAACGTGCCAGATGGGGCGCCGTTTAACTTACGAGCGTTGTCTTTCCAGAAATTTAGTTCGACAATGGCCCTTTCCGATAATAAAACATAATTATCCCAAGAACTCAAAGGATAGAGGGCGCAATACAGCGCTCTAGTCATAAGTAAAGCATTGTTACCTGCACCCACTCTCATGGAAACAATCTGTCCGGTAACATGAGCCACTTTCTTGGGTCATACAAACCTGGACGTCCGTCGTACGTGAATGTCCGGAATTGGTTAAAATACCAGTGATAGTCACCTCTAAGCGACTGTTGCTTTCCAGCGAACTCCCACGAAAAACCCAGGTATTTGCGATGTTCAGAAAAATATCGATGTGGTTGTAACCAGATTTAAGATCAAACTTAAATAAAAAATATCCTGCTTAAGCATCTCCTGAGCAGTTTTCAGTCTTCAAAGCGAAATTTATTCTTGAAACGTACAAGTTAACTCGCCATAGTCCAGGATAGCGATTAAATTTCTTTCATGTAATAGTCATTTGCCACTACTGGGACCAGTTTGCAGATTTCCACTTGTTGGCATAGCTCTGCATTCAAAACGGTAATGCCCTTGCCGACCACAACCAGAACAGACTCCCTGTCTGGGTCGCTCTCGTTTCGGCCTTCCATATTCTCCTCTCATCTTCACTGTCAATAGTCAAGTCATACGATACGTATTTTTGGGGTGTACTCCAGCCGTATTCAGAGGTATCTGCAAATAGAATCAATTTCTGTCGTTTTTCGATTAAGTCGATACCTGCAGCAAGATTTTCTTTCATGGTGTCATATTTTGCAAGCTGCAAACTGGACTGCGCCTCTTCTAATACGTCCGCAACTTTGATATTGTGTTTATACTGATCATCATTGGCCTTCCGTTTGAATGTAGGAACAATGCCATATTTTACTTTCTTTATTTCTGCCATCTGGACTTGAGTGAACAGGTCATGCGACAATTGCAACTCGTCTCTTAAGTCATCTTTTGCGAAACTAGAGCATTAATCGACTGCAAAAGTTGCGCGTTATTTTCCCGCAGAAGCTGCTGCACATCAGAGGTAGCTGGCGTCCTCCATTTAGAATGCGCAGGTGACGACTCCAAGTAATTATAGCACTGTCAAACAAAGACCTGAATTTACAACTTTTTGTTTTAAAAGTGTCACATTATTGAACAAAATAACAACGTAGCACCTAGAGTTCGAACAAACGATGTTCTTATCTCTCTCCACTGAATAAGCTAAGCAGGTGTTTTGTGATTGAAAGCAACATGTAGATTACTGTGATATGTACATAAATTAAGTGCGATTACGACAGGTCATTGGCCCATTGTCCTGCTAAACAAAAGGACTTACCTAACACACGTACACTATGACACCCCGTACGGAGCTGCAAAAAACACCTACAACTCTATAAATTCGCAGTATTACCAAGTTACTCTCAAGTCCAGGTACGTTTTTTAAAAGGTTTAATGTTACGTTTTGATAAAATCATTATCCAGTGGGGACTGGTGAGACATTCACGGTATGTTATGCTTACAAAGTTACAAATTAAATACATAAAAATTATCAATTGAATTACTCAGACTCAGTTAGGTTAGGTCTCTCTGGTATGTATAATATACTTGCGCACACTTGCGTTTTCTCTTAGACGGATGAATTTGTATCAAAAAGTATTTATTATTTGAGTTTTCAAAATGTCATATATCGCTGTTTTGGCATTCTTGGCAGCTGCGAAGTGCTGTTTTGGCATTCAGATCATGCAACCTGAATTATATTAAAATTAGGCAAATTAACATGCATTAGATTAAATTAGTTGAAATAAAACCCATCATAGATCAAACTGTGGCGGAATACAATGGATTTTACTCATCTATGAAATTAGCAAAATCAAATAAAGTGTGTTGGTTTGTTTGCTTGCTTATTTGTCTGTTTGTAATTGTAAGCAGGATAACACAATACTTTATTGTAGAAGTTGTTGAGCTAAACAAAATCAATCTATCTAAATCTCGTTTCGTTGTAAACAAAACTGTTGAATTTAATTTATAGCTATTTGCTTCATGCACGTTTTACAACTTTTCTTGATGCATTCAATTTTAGCAAGTCAGGTAGAATGGATTTGATGTGGATTGTAGCATACTATTGCAGATGAAATGGCATATTGTCAGAATTAACAGCTTTAGGAATACCATGTCGAGCAATTATGATGTTCTTAACTTGTGTACTGAGCTGGCTGTTTTCTTGTACAACCTTGCCACTTCAGGTTACTTTCAGTAGTATTCTACCAGATTGTCACAGTGTAAGGCTTGCTTATTGCAATTGAGAAGGCCACCCATAGAACTTACACTGGATAGGGGGTTCTTTTACTGCTAGAATGTGGTAGAAAAGACTAGTACTGAAAATGAAATACACATACACAAAGCTATCGAGTTAAAGCTCCTGGCTTTAATACCTCTCAAAATAATTACAAGAAATAAAGCACAGAAAAATACAATGAATAAAGTTACTAAAATAGGGGATTGCCTAGGGAAGTGTGCACTGGAGATAAATCACAATTCCAGGATGTAGAAATGGGTGTCAGTCAATGGCTTCTGCAACACAATGACGAAGAAATACAGGAGTCTTGCTTGCAGAGGGACGCTGTTATTCTGGAGGGTACCACGGAAAGCAAGAGATTGCAGAGCAGTTCATACAAGTCTCACAGAATGATGATTGAAGCCTGTAACACTTGTCTCACAATATTGCAACAGGAACACACAGGGTACACAGTAGAAATGATGGACCCAACTGTCCTCAGTCTGTTCAATTTATAGGCATAAATGGCCCAGATTCAGGGACACCATCTTGGTTTCCACGTGAGCCTTTATGGCAGTTGCCACACGGCAATGCACAGATTTTTCTCATGATTCCATGCACACTTCTATTTGCAGGGTTTTAGGTAATAAGACAAAAATATAGAATAATGGATGCTGACACAGGTTGACGTAATAACTACCACAGTTCAAAAAATTACCTGTTCCTAACTTTTAGCAAGGACCATCATTCGTTTCATGCTGTTTTTTAGGTTCCTTGCAATTACTGTATCTGAAATTCTACCAAACCTTGCAGTTAGATACTGTGTCCTCAATGTCTTTGCTCAGTCCTGGATGCCACCACTTCTTAATCTTTTTGTGATGTATCATAGTGACTGGTTGCTATTTTGTCATCAATCAACCCTGGAAAACATGAACAGTATGTCGTGATCAAGTGTACATGCATGCCGTCAGATTTACGGGCTGTTATCTTAATGAGCTGTACACTCTGTCATGTATAAAGTGTTGAAAACGCTGAAAACTATTGCCAATAGTACCTTTTCAATCTGCATGTAACCTGTCTCAGTTAGAGACCTTGAGACGTAAGACACTGGTTGACCATGTTCGAGAAGACAAGCTCCTAGAAAGTGCTGTTAGGTCTCTTGACTCTTCAATAACTTCCACTTGCCAGAAGTCCTATGAGTGATCAATTATTGTGAAGAAATTTGGATTTTCCAATTTACCAATGAATTCTTGAAATTGATATTTTGGTATTAAGAGTGTGTACAATGACAATAAAGAACTAAATAAAGAACAAATAAGAAAGAGGATGCTACCCAGTTTAAATCCAAGCAATTAAATTAGCACGAAATACTATTGTCTAAGTGTATCAATGTAATGTGACATTTGCTCACACACGCAAATACC